AAAAAAAAAACAAAAGTTTATTTTAAAGAAAAATCTTACGACATATCCTCGATGACCAGATGCTTCTCGAATAAACCAACATGTATTTGTTTTTATATCATAACCTGATTCTAATAAACCAAATTGAAATGATTCTTGTCGACGTAATTTTGATAAACGACGAAAAACATTTAATAATGAATCTTTTGATTCACCTCCTAATGCTTCTTGACGCTATTGAAAAAAAAAAAAAATTTTTATTTTTTGTTTTCGATTTTGTATTTAATAATACAAATTACTTTAACACTTGTTTGTTGAAGATTAACTTGATAGGATGATAAAACATTGGAACAATTTTCTCGTGAACATGAAGAAAATCCTCCGTATGGACCATCAGATGTCCATGGCATTAAAGGAAAAGATTTCTAAAAAAAAAAACCATTTCACATTATAAAAGAAAAAACTTTTAGCACAATCTCTGTGGGTTTAAAATGTGAAACACGAGGTAGTGGCTGTTGCTAATCACAGGAAAACTGTTTGATTCTATCTTTTTTGGGACACATTTCTTTACGATCCACTCAAGGAACGAAATAATAAGAACGTTATTTATATCATACTTGCAACCGGACTGATTCGGTTGAACTATTAAAATCGACCGTCTTTTTTAATATCGATTTTCTTGAGTATTTTTATTGGTTTTTAATGATCAAGAGATATGAGTCTGGAAGTTTCCAACTAATAAATTTCGGGTCGTTGTCAAAATCTCTGCTCTAAATATTGAGCTAACACTTTCTCATCATATGATAAGAGCCTCGGATTATGCTGAATGAATTTATTATACTCACGAGAAGTTAGTCACGATATTAGAAGTTAATTTCAGTCTAAACTAAAGATTTTTCGTCTCGAAATTTTGAGCTCACTTTTTTGAACTACTTTTAATTGACTCTCATAAACTCCAAGATTACTATAAATTTTACATTGTATTTTTTCATAGAACTGAAATAATGGACTGATTCCAAGTATGGTTCATACATTACAATTGATATACGGCTCTTTGATCGTATACTTCAACACTTCTTTTAGATCATGTTTCACAAAAAAAAAAACACAAATTTGCACTTTTTCTTCTCACTTGATTAAGACCAATTTCTTCTCCATAAAGTATAACTGGTGTTCCACCAAGTAACATAATCATAGTTAAAACAGCTTCTTTTGATAATTGATTATCATGAACAAGGCCAATATCATCACTTTTTCGTTTTGATCCCAACTAAAAAATTTATTCTTGCACAAAAAAAGAAAACATACAAGAAAATCTTTAATCCAACCTGCCAAAATTGTGGTGCCGATAAACGATTTGTTTCAAATGATTGTATTCTTTGATCTAATGCTAGAGCATTAATTGGAGATCTTTGTTGATCATTAAATAAAAATAGTGCATGTGCTGTTTTATTATGTAAATCATCATTTTTAATAGTATCTTGTAAACCGAATGGAACATCAAATAAAAGTAATCTTTAGAAATATTAATTTAAAAAAAAAACGTTTTTTTTTT